ATCCTCAAATTTAATGGGCCATTAGATTTAAAATTCAGTCTAGCCCATTACTGTAAATAGAAAAACCTTGTGATAATGTAGCCCATTATTGTCACCTTCCCATATATTTTCTCTCTTCTCAACCAAATTCGCCGTCAAATTACTGTTGCGTTTCGTTTTCTCATTCCCTGTACCTTCTCATCCTCTCTGTGTTTTTCATTTCACATCAATGGCGGTGCATGCTGTTCGACTACCGGCGACTCAGATTCACGGCGGAATCTCTGCTAATCTGTCTCAATCCAATCGCAAACCAAACGCCGTCTTCCGATTCAACTGCGATTATTCGAAGCGCTGCCGTTACGTAGCTGCCTTGCCGTCACTCCGGGAAGACGATGAACATGGTAGAGACAATTCCGTTAGGTCTATGGAATTGAAGAAGATTCTAGAAGACTCGCCTCTGCTTCCTAGTACGGATTCGATATTCCCCAAAGTTTTCAATTACTTGTTTCCAGATTGCGATTTTGTCTCGTTGTAGAGCTCACTGGCTTTAGATTATAGTTACTGAAGCAATCAAAGATATGTTTACTGGCATTGCGACTATAATTAAGAGCTCGACTACAATCAGTAAATAGACCTTTGCTTGAATAATTTAGTGATGGTTTTTTTGTTCTGTCTGTTTTTTCAAATATTTAGAGCCGTTGTCGTCAAGCCAGCTCGCGGAATCTGAGTCCAATGGTTCCCGTGTTCGTGTGGCCTATCAGGTAATAATATACGGAAATGTATCTACTTGAATTGTATGTTAGAATCATGTGTCTGTGTGTGATGAATTGATTGATGATTTTCGATATAGGGAGTACGTGGTGCGTACAGTGAATCAGCAGCTCAAAAGGCATATCCAAAGTGCGAAGCTGTTCCCTGCGAAGAGTTTGACACTGCATTTGAGGTGAGAATCTGGTTCCTGCACTTGTTTTGTTATTTTTCTGCAATTGTTTCTTCATCAAGACTTGAATTGATCAATAGGAAATATATTTTGGTTTTGTTGTTTTTAATGGTAGTAGTGAGAAAAGTTAAATGGTCAATATTTCGCTCATACAGAATTGTCGAGGATCTTAGGATTATCGAGATTGCGCGGCTTATTGGATCATCATATTACATCGAAAACTAATTTAGAACTTGGTTTTTGTGTCAATATTTTTAAGCATTTTCTAACCTTTGTTCTTGTATAGGCGGTCGAGCGGTGGCTTGTGGACCGAGCAGTTTTACCAATTGAGAACTCTTTGGGTGGAAGCATCCATAGAAACTATGATCTTCTGCTCCGGCACAATTTGCATATTGTAGGGGAAGTCAAGCTTGCTGTTCGCCATTGTTTGTTGGCTAATTACGGTGTAAATATTGAAGATTTGAGAAGGGTGCTTAGCCATCCACAGGTACATCACAGCCTTGTAGAAAAATCCAGTTCTTTCTCTCTCACTATTATCGAAATCCTTAGTCGTTGCTTTGGATCAGGCTCTTGCCCAATGTGAAAACACATTAACCAAATTGGGATTGGTTAGAGAAGCAGTAGATGACACTGCTGGTGCTGCAAAGGTAACTTTATGCTTCAAGTACCAAAGTACCATTGTTATATACTAGATTCATACCCACGCGTTGCGTGGGATTTTAATTTTAAATTGCTAACAATACAAATAATTGTATTTAAATATATTTATTTTAACTTTAAATGATAAATTTGTATACATAAATTTTATCAAGCAATATACAACATAAATATAGTTGAGAATAGTTTTTTCATTGAAAAGAAACGAATTGTGAACCTCACCGGTAAAAAATGATTTCACTGACATTCTCACGACACTTTATCTTGGAGAGGGTTTTTACACTAAAAAAACTGGAAATTC